GGATGCGCCCGTGAGAGGGAGCGAGACCCCCAGGCCTCAGCAGAAGCGAGCCGGCGCCGGAGTTTCGGCTGAGCTCCCCTGTGTTTAGAAAAGGGGCCCGGAAGGTGACGGCCTGCGTCAGCCGTGAGCGGGCTGCTTGAGCTGAGACTCTGCGTCTGCGTTTTGACTGAACCGTGAATTAGTTTTCTGAGGTGTAGTAACTCCCAGTTGTTTTGGCGTGTGGAAGTGGCTTCTGAGCTGTGTTTATTTTACAGAGACGGCAGGTGTATTCTCTTAGCGGTAAGTTGTATGCAGCTTGCTGTTTACCTTCTTTTAAATGAGTATTTTTAGTGCCATCCTCTTCTCATTATCCCCAGAATAGAAGAGAGGACTACAGATGTATTCATTGGTTGGTTGTTATCCCAAAGACTCATAGCTGACCGTTGTAACATTTGACACATACTAGTGTTAAAGACCGTCAGATGACAAGCATAGGCTGCTACTGTACTGATACTTCTGTGTCCTGTGCTTGAACCTATTCGAGGAATCTCACCAAAGTGCAGGTCAAGAACAGCGTGCACTGAAGTGTGATCATTGCTTGGACTCCCACAGAGACGTGCTTTTGATTTTGTACTTACTGGTGTGATAACTTTTCATTAGGTTTCATTTTTGTTGCTCTTCATCCCGGTGTTTGAGATGAACTATACCTTGGTGAAATACTTCATGTTTTATTCTACTGCAATGCCATTTTACTTCAGATTGAATTCCAGGTAACCTTAGCTACAGACTCCATTAATTTTCACAGGTCATGTCCTTCGTGCCCCTTTGTAGGATGCAAAGTCCCTAATGAAACATATGCAGTCCTGCATCTTTCCATTCTTGAGGTCACCCCTAGATGTGACTGGCTCTGTCTTTTGTGGAAAGGTGAGACTTTTCTCCCTGAGTCAGCTCCTTTCTGCTGTCCTTACCTTTAATGCCTGGGCTGATAGATTGGAATAGACCTTACCTCCCTTGGCAGAGTAACTCCCCACGGACCCTAGAGCAGCTGCGTTCCTTCTGATAATTCACTAGAAGGTCTGTAAAGCAGAATTTAATATAGGATCAGATCTTTGGGTCTCAAGTCCCCAGACGCAGATGATAGTCCTGGAGATTATAGAATCATAGAATTGTAGAGTCTTCAAGGGTGGAAAAGACCTCTAAGATCATCAAGTCCTACCATCAACCCATCACCACCATGCCTGCTGTGTAAACTGGAGGAAAAATAATTCTCTTGCAGAGAAGTAAAATTGATTTTAGGGTTGGAGTGGGCGGCTCCAAGTTGGCATTACATGGTTAGAGAAGCTCCTGCTTCAACAAATCTCTGCTGGCCTAACTTTCCTTCCATTGTAGTAGCTTTCTGGTGAATTATAGTGAGCCCAGTATTTCTCTAGCCAGTGTTGCCTGAGGTGGCTTGAAGGTTGACCAAACTGCTGGAAAGGTGGTTTGTGTGAAGTAAGGCAAAAGCAAATTCAAGATAGTCTAGGTCTTCTTCCGAGATGTGGGTACTCCACCCTGAGAGCTGTGAATATTTTGCTAGCTTGTTGCACTGCCACTGTTTCTGACAGCATGGCCCTTGGTGTAAAAGCCTGCTCTGGAATGGAGCTATGCAGCACAAGCACATACTGATGCCACTGCAGCAGCCGGAGTAGGGAGCCCAAGAGCAAGTCTGAAAGCAGCCTCACCAGGCCTACAAGCTCTGTGCTGCCGCAGATCGGGTGTGCTGCTTTCTGGTACAGGAACAGTCTGTTGCCGTGCTGGATCTGTATGTTCGTAAGGACCTCAAAGCATTGTCGTTCCAAACTTAAGTTTTGTGTCATGTAGCTGATACCTGCAGCATTGCACTGTTTTTCGCAGTCCCAAGAATTTTCACTTCACCAAACATAAAATCTCAGGCAGGTAAGCATTCCCTGTTGAGTATTCTCAATCTTAAATCATAGGGCACTTATAAAACAAGCATTTTATCAAACTAGAACTAGTTAAGTTACTGAAGGAACCATTTTTTTCCGGATTTAAAAAAAAAAAAAGGCACCATTTTTATCCTGGCTTCTGTTAATATAGTAATCTTCCATATTTACTGAATGTACACATGAGCAATGGTAAAGGTGGTCTTTTGTTTGGTTTGAGTTTTATGATTGTTCCTGTTGCACACTACTTAACGCAATTCTTAAGGCAAAAAGTATTTATCCTAAAATTTATGTATTGTTCAGAATTTTCATGAGCAAGCTAACAACCTGAACGTTTGTGATAACCAACATGAGTAACATGGGAACAGACACATCAGTACTACTGCAGACAATGATCTAGGTCTTCCCTAATGCTTGAGTATACTCATGGTTGGAGTTTGTGTATTTTTGCTGGTATTCTCCTTTGCACTACTCCTCGTGCTCCACAGGGGGGTAGCAAAAGGAAACAGGAGGTCTGTTAAAACTACTTCGGCGTATCAGCGCTTACATCATATAGTGTAGAGAGCTTTCTTGGAGAAGTATTTGATGTGTAACGAAGACCACAGGGCCCCTGCTTGTTGACACAAAATGCTTTATGAGTCAGCTAATATAATGGTTAAACAACTGAGCTCTCTATAAGTGTGAAAGTTAAGAAAAAGCTGGAGTAAGAGGCAGTTGGGGGTGTGTTGTGGAAGAGGGGTGTTGTACGTTGAAGCCTGGAGCTTTTACATGAGAATTTTTCTGTCTTTAAAAATAATAAAAACTGGTGGAACCATGCAGTAATAAGTCATGCCAGAATGGTTCCAGATTTTTTTTTGCCATGATAAGCAACTCAGCCGTGATATAAATTCTTCATCTTAAAGGTCAGTCCAACATCACAACAACTGGTCTCATTAGAGAAAAGAAAAAAAAGCAGTAGCATTTTCTCTGTGTGTGATAAATGGTGACGTTATTTTTAAATCATAGAATCATAGGTTGAAAAAGACCTCTAAGATCATTGAGTCCAACCATCCACCCAACACCACCATGGCTACTAAACCATATCCTGAAGTGCTACATCTACACGTCCAGGGATGGTGACTCCACCACCTCTGTGGGCAGCCTGTTGCAATGCCTGACCACTGTTTCAGTAGAGACATTTTTCCTAATATCTGATCTAAACCTCCCCTGATGCAACTCGAGGCCATTGCCTCTCGTCCTACTGCTAGTTACCTGGGAGAAGAGACCAACACCTGCCTCACTACAACCTCCTTCCAGGAAGTTGTAGAGAGCGATAAGGTCCCCCCTCAGCCTCCTCCAGACTAAACAACCCCAGCTCCCTCAACTGCTCCTCATAAGACTTCTTCTCTAGACCCCTCACCAGCCTCATTGCCCTTCTCTGGACACGCTCCAGCACCTCAATGTCTTTCTTGTAGTGAGGGGCCCAAAACTGAACACAGTACGTGAGGTGCGGCCTCACCAGCACCGAGTACAGGGGCACAATCACCTCCCTGCTCGAGCTGGCCACACCATTCCTGACTCAAGCCAGGATGCCGTTGGCCTTCTTGGCCACCTGGGCACACTGTTGGCTCATGTTCAGCTAGCTGCCAACGAGCACCCCAAGATCCTTTTCCACCAGGCAGCTTTCCAGCCACTCCTCCCCAGGCCTGTAGCGTTGCATGGGGTCATTGTGACCCAAGTGCAGGACCCGGCACTTGGCCTTGTTGAACCTCATACGGATGGCCTTGGCCGATCGATCCAGTCTGTCCAGATCTCTCTGCAGAGCCTTTCCACCCTTGAGCAGATCTACACTCCCGCCCAGCTTGGTGTCATCTGCAAATTTACTGAGGGAGCACCCGTTCCCCTCATCCAGATCATTGATGAATATGTTAAACAAGACTGGCCCCAAAACTGAGCCCTGGGGAACACCACTCGTGACCAGCTGCCAGCTGGATTTAACTCCATTCACCACCACTCCCTGCGCTCGGCCATTCAGCCGGTTCTTTATCCAGTGAAGAGTACACCCATCCAAACCATGGGCAGCACCTAGTTTCTCCAGGAGGATGCTGTGGAGACCAGTGTCAAAGGCCTTACTAAAGTCCAGGTAGATGACATCGGCAGCCTTTCCCTCATCCACTACACGGGTCACCTGGTCATAGAAGGAGATCAGGTTGGTCATAGTAGGACGTGGCTTTCACGAACCCATGCTGGCTGGGTCTGATCCCCTGATTGTCCTTGACATTCCTGGTGAGTGCACTCGGGATGAATCGCTCCATCATCTTGCCTGGCACAAGGTCAGTCTGACAGGCCTGTAGTTCCTAGGATCCTCCTTCCAGGCCTTCTTGTAGATGGGTGTCACATTGGTGAGCCAGTCCAGGACCTCCCCTGTTAGCCAGGACTGCTGATAGATGATGGAGAGTGGCTTCTCCAGCTCCTCCACCAGTTCCGTCAGCACTCTTGGGTGGATCCCATCTGGTCCCATAGACTTGTGACTGTCCAGGTGGCATAGCAGGTTGTTAACTGCTTGCTCCTGAATTATGGGAGGTTTGTTCTGCACTCCTTCCCTATCTTCCAGCACTGGGGGCTGACTGTCTGGGAATAACTAGCCTGACTATTAAAGACTGAGGCAAAGAAGGCATTAAGTGCCTCAGCCTTTTCCTCATCCTTGTTGGCAGTATTCCCCCTCACATCCAATAAGGGATGGAGACTCTCACTGGCCCTCTTATTGTTGATGTATTTGTAAAAACATTTTTTGTTGTCCCTTACAACAGTGGCCAGCCTGAGTTCTAGCTGGGCTTTTGCCTTTCTGATTTCCTCTCTGCGTGACCTAACAAGAGCCCTGTACTCCGATTGAGTCACCTGCCCTTTCTTGCGAGGTGGTAAACCCTTCTGTTAAGTCCCAGCAAGAGCTCCCTGGTTAGCCAGGCTGGTCGTCCTCCCTGCCAGTTCGCCTTGCGGCACATGGGGACAGCTTGCTCCTGTGCCTTTTAGACTTCCTCCTTGAAGAATGTCCAGCCTTTCTGGACCCCTTTGCCCTTCAGGACTCTGTCCCAGGGGACCCCCTCAACCAATGTCCTGAACAGGCCAAAATATGACCTCCGAAAGTCTGTCGTGGTGGTTTTGCTGGCACCCCTCATAACTTCACCTCAAACGGAGAACTCTGTCATTTCATGATTGCTAAGCCCAAGACGGCCTCCAACCACCACATCTCCCAGCAGTCCCTCTCTGCAGCAGTCCTGACCAGCAGTCCCGACCTCTGCAGCAGGTCTAGCGAGGCACATCCCCTGGTAGGCTCACTTACCAGCTGCGTGAGGAAGTTATCTTCCACACACTCCAGGAACCTCCTAGGCTGTTTCCTCTCTGCTGTGTTCTGTTTCCAGCAGATGTCTGGTAAGTTGAAGTCCCCGACAAGAACAAGGGCTAGTGATTGTGAGACTTCTGCCAGCATCTTACAGCTTTATAGTACCATTAATAATGGTATTATAATACCATTACTTTGCTTGAGGTTGTGAAGGGCCTGACAGTACCTGTTCCATCCAAGGAGCTAGAAGTGTTCTGAACTTTAGAGAAAACTTGACCTGATTGAAAATGGAATTGTCCCTACAAGGACAAAACCAAGATACTTTCCAATGGTGAACTAGAAACAAGAAAATTCAGATGCATTTTTCTTTAACTGGAGTATGAAGTCACAGGTCAGTGTAGACTCAATGAGAATCTATGTTTCAAACTACCTTATTTTCACCCCCCCTTTTTTTTTTTTACAGAAGAACTAGAACAGATGAGCAATGAGAAAGAACAAGAAGTTAGTAATTACTAAAGCGAGACAGATACGTGGTGATTGTGAATCACTTCATACTCCTTCACTTCAAGTTGTATCAAAACACAACACAGGACTTTTAGCTGATTTCCTGAGGAAATTAAGTATATTTTATTTAAGTGGTCCTTTGCTTTGCCCTCTCTTTTCCCTTTCCATTATGCTTTGAAACAGTTAGTCAATTTCATAAAAATTTGGGGAAAAAGGTACTTGAAAAGACTTCATAAAAAAGTAGGAGGAGCAAGAGTCTGTTAAGTTTTTACTTAGGGAAATGTTGTGAGTTGAATAAAAACCTGACACCAGCGTGTCTACACAGGAGACAATTAGTGACCCAGCTGCAGGCAGAGTTTGAATGAGCGCTGCTGTCTTCCTAGGTACTGGAGGACCTAGTCATAAATATGTGAAGCAACCTGGCAGTGCTCACACCAGGTGAAATTGTCAGCAGATTCTTTTTATTTCACTTGTGAAGATGCTGTTGAACTGTCTCCCTTTTCAGAAGCTATACAGAGACTATTTACAGAAACAGGAAAGTTCTTACATCTTGGCAAGTCAACAGCAAAATCTTCTAATTTTTTGAAAAAAGATTTTCATTATATATAGTAATATACTATAATTACTATATAGTAATGCCTGGTATTCAGTATGGCAGTTATGTGTAGGACTGTTTTTCTACATGTGAACAGGAAGCCTTTGTTAAAATATGCTTTATACAGGTATTTCTCACTCATTAAAGGCATTGCCAAATAACACCCGTCATTTTTGTATTGGGGATAAATGATGAATTGGCACATCTTTGTGCATTTTACATAGCTTTTTAAATTTGGTGTCTTTAAAGAGAAGAATCATAGTGTAAGAAATTGGCAAGTTGAACACAGTTGTTCAAAATCAGTCATTTCAAATTTCCTTTCTGGGAAACTGCTGGACATACTATGTTTTGCTGATTAGTAGTCTAGCCCCATCCCAAGCAGAAGATACATTTTGTAGCTGCCTAGTTAGTTTTTCAGACACGGTGTTAAATGGTGTGTAATCTCAAGAAGACTAATATGTACTTTTTTTGTGTGAAGGTCGGAATTATTGGTGGAACTGGCCTGGATGATCCAGATATCTTAGAAGGAAGAACAGAAAAATATGTTGATACTCCTTACGGCAAGGTCTGTATAACGTATGTTTTTTTGTTACTGAGACTTTTTGCTGTGTTTAAAGATGTTTGTATGCTTTAAGAGTTTTCAGACTGTTAAATGAGAGCATGAAGGAGGTACTGTCATAAGACTGTTTCCTTTTAGTTGCTATGTGTTGTGTGATTCTTAGTTTGTAGAAACAAGGTGTTACAAAGGTGATGTCCAAAGGAGACTATACCTATTAGTGTTTGTAGATTGGATGAATTTATAAGTCAAGTGTGATAAACACTCTCTTTTAAATTTGTGCTGTTTTGTGACCTGCAGTATATGTCAGATTGCTCCAGTAACCTTTCTGGATTGGAGAACACTGTGCTTTGAGGTATATGGGCCACCATTTTCCCTGTAACCACTGAATTATGCTTTACAGACCACTGCTTTCACAGAATCACAGAATGTTCAGGGTTGGAAGGGACCTCTGTGGGTCATCTAGTCCAACCCCCCTGCCGAAGCAGGGTCACCTACAGCAGGCTGCACAGGACCTTGTCCAGGCAGGTCTTGAATATCTCCAGAGAAGGAGACTCCACAACCTCCCTGGGCAGCCCGTTCCAGTGCTCCGTCACCCTCAGAGTGAAGAAGTTCTTCTTCATGTTCAGACGGAACTTCCTCTGTAGTCATGCTTATAACCACATTTTTTGAAACTGGTTTGAAAATGAAGCTCTGAAACTGTTTTTGTGGCACAGATGTGCTTGACCAGCTCTGCTTCACATTACTTCAGCTCTTTTCCTCAGCAAAAGGGAGGAGAGGCTAGGGGTGTTTCTCTATTCACTGTGCTAAATGTGTTGTAAAGTACAATTCCTGCCCCAAAGCATGTATAGTAGGAACAGGCAAGCCGAAAGTTGAGAGAGTGTTGCATGAACAGGAAATAGAGGCAGGGAGAGAGGTTCTAGTTGACACAGAAGAACTGGATCTCAGATGTTGTGTAATGTCATAAGACCAGGGGAGTCTGGGTGCTTTATAATTGCCATCAGAATTATATCTTATGAAATCTACCAGTGTAAGCTAGTATACATACAATAAAACATCTGGCATGTGTTGGAAGAAGTCATTTTGTGAGTAGAAGCTTGCCAGAAGGCTCAGTGTGTGGTGTGTGATTGAAAATCTGAATCCGTGCCTCCATGCAAGATAGTTTAAGGGGGAAGTAAGAGCATAAAGAGCAAGCGGAGTTTGTGTGTGCACCATTCAAGAAGGTGAAGGGGATAAAGATTAAGGGAGGAGAAAACACCATCAGAAAAATACATGTATGACTTTTCCACCATCCTTCAAAATCTATTAACAAACTGCAAGAGAATGAAGGGAACCTGTCTCCTCTGTTTTCTGCTCTCCAAATGGTAGCCAGTGTTGGTCTGAAGTAGAATCCACCGGCTAACCCAAACCAGCTGCCATTACCTTACCTTCCCCGTTTTTTGGGAGTCATGGATGGTCACAGCATGACTGTGTCTAGAGACTGCTCATGGAGCAAAAATAGCACTATGCTTGTAGCAGATCTTAACTGAAGCCTTCATATCCAGGAAGGATGAAATGCTTTTCTCCCTCACAGGGATCTGTTAAGGGCACAGTGGCAGCACAGCATTTGGAGGGCTGTTCTGTCACAGCGTTGGGATGCAACAGCATTTGGGTTGCCCAAATTCTGCAGTGCAGTAGGTAGCTTACAGCAGGGTTTAGTATTACTGAGAGGAGTAGGAGTGCCTGCAGGATGGCTTCTGCACAAGGGAGTGGAAAAAGCTTCCTCAGTCCTGCACCTTTGGTCAGTATGGAAGGCTTTTTTAATTTCGTTTAGGAAGCAGCTTAGCTACTGTCTTTTTTTTCTGTGTTCTTCACAAAATGCAACATGAATAAGGGAAAATAAATCTTGGTTGCCTGTTGTGGTTTGTGAGAAGCCTTGGTCAATGGACTGGCTGTGTCTGAGCTTGTGTATTACACATTTAGCATAGGCTCAACTTAAAGAAAAAGCTAGCGAATATTCTGTCTCTGTGTATGGGGTGGGGTGTAACTGAGGTGTCATGATAGGAACCCAAGCGTGGATTCTGGATACTGTAGTGGGCTGAACTGGGACTGCTAAGCTGATATGGATAGAAAACTGCAACTTTGTGGGACTTCTGTGCCTGTGAAGGGGAGCACAGCCAAACAGCGAGCTTTTGTCCTTACCCCTGCTGGCCTGTCTCTCTTCTCTCTGCCTGTAGATTTGAACTCTAAGAACTCAGGCCATCGATCTAAGGGTTGTTTCATGTAGATTCACTCCTGCATAGAATCGCACTAACTTCAGTGTTCGAATGCAGTTTTCATCTTCATGGAGCAAATGGTGGATCAGCCTTAGTGTAAGATGTGCAGGGCTTGGACCAGAAGTTGCAGGGTTGTATAAAGTGCATTGAGTGGGTCAAGCTGATGGACTGCAATTGAAGCAGAAACAAACCTCACAAATTTATTTGGTATCATCAGGTGGATCAATGTTTGCTTATTTTGGTGCTGAGGCTTTTTAGCATTCAGAAGGAAGGTGCTGCACAGCCTGCCTCTCTCATTTTAGAACAGCAGAGATGAGAGAAGCAGCTACTGCTGAATGCGAAAGAGCAAATGAGAACTTTTTTTAAGTGTGCTTGGAAATGTTTAGAAGTTTTTGGTTTATGTTAGTATTTTTTTCTAAAGGTGTGTCTTGTTCTTGATTTTTACTGAAATAAAACCAAATTTGGGTTTTTCTGCCATAAAGATGCCTGTTCATAGAGCTGTATCATCAGTGGAGACAGAATCTGCCTGAAATTTGAAGAAGTAAAGGGCTTAATCTAAATAAACTGTTCAGACCTTTGTGGTCTTTTAATTGGTGGGAGAATTAGAGATGCAACATAAAGCCTATTTAGTTCAAGCAAAACTATGAAGAATGAAAATGAATGAATGCCAAAAGGAAAATGCAAGGCATAGTTAAAAAAATGTATGTAAATTTCATTCTATCCTGTAAAAATGTAAAGTGTACATTTCTACTTGCCTTAAATTTTGGTTTTTAATCCTTAAGTTTTTTGGCAAGAACATAGCCAAAAGACTTTAAGCTGAAAACCTTTCTGGTAGTCACGTTCCTTGGCTCCTTTGACATTTAACAACAGCAAAATAGACATTTCTTTAGTGCTGTTTCTTTACTTTTAGAAGCAGAATAATAGCTTACATTTTGTTCACGTAGAGTCCTTGAATTGTCTTCTGCTTTGGCCTTCTCAAATTCTAAGATTCATTTAGTAACAAAACTTACATCGTTAGGGAATGTGGGGATATTTTTTTCGGGTGAAATATGGAAAGGTTTAAGGGAAACTAGTGTGAGCATTTTTGTGGTTCTCTATATTGGCATTGGTCCTCCCACGATCTTTCAGGTTACATTAGTAATACTAGTGAAGATGCAGTACATTAGTTTTTTTAAGAATAAATATGCTTACGGCTGTTAATATTCCAGCCTTCTTTTCTGCCTTGTCTGCTTCCACCATTTTGGTTGCGTTTGGTATTCTGTGGAAAATACCATAAAATCTTTTGGCATTCCATCTCCAGGTGTGGAAAATATTGTTCACTTATAGGATAAGAAAATTGCTTGCAGCCACATTTATCTTCATCATTGAATTTTGACACTACTAATAAAACTTTGTTCAGAATATACTTTCAGTTAGATTGTTTTACTTTCTGGATGACAGAACGTGGTTCTGAATCACCTTTCCCCAGATCAGCAAAATATCTTCCCATTCTAGAAAATTATTGTAGGTGCCTCTGCTTTTTTCGGTCATATGTGTATATGGCAAACAAAGCTCATGCAAATGAGCTTTGTATGCCTGCATCAGGTAAATCAGACCAGATGACGTAACACTTAAGCTCCTCTTCTGGCTCCCCAAACACGTACATTCTTTGGTTTCTAAACTAGATCACAGGTTAAATGAAGGCTTGGGGAATCTGTGAGATTCTTTTCCATCTCAAGTTTTGCTTAGATTTTTATTTTGTTCATTCATTCTGTTTTCCCTTCCAGCTTGCTTTTGAGGTGAGACCAAGGAAAAAATGAATTATATAAATACCAGATGAGCAGTACTTTAAGCAGATTTATATTGCAGACAAAAGGGATTTATTTCAATTGTTTGTTACTGTTGTAATTTAGGGTTAACTGTCCAGGGTTCTTTGCATCCTTTTCGGTTTTTCAACGGAGTAATATGTGTCTGACTTGGATTTTGTGGAAGGGGGAAGTAGTTAAATACTTATATGAATTATTAATGTTTGAGAACTTTTATTGAGCCTTTTCTTAAATCCTTATTTTAAAATACTGTATTGGAGCTTTAAATTCGGATTGTTTCATTGGAAGTTTTTAGGTTTTTCTTAGCATTTCGAAGCTGCCGACTACAGCTGAGATAATAGTAGAGAGATAAACAGCACTGGAAAGAACTTATGGGATGAAGAGAGTGGAACAGAAGCATACACTGGTTCTGTTACGTGGTTAACACATGGTTTGAAATTTCTGTATCTTTCACATCCTTGTAACTTTACACATACTGATTTATCCTTATTTCCTCTCTTTTAATGACCCATGGTGCAGTATCTGCAAAGTCTTTTCTTAAACTGTCAGTTTATCATTTAGCAGAGCATTCTTTGTTCTTCTGACATTTTCTCTGCCATGTTTGTAGTGGTCATGTGCAAGAAAGGTATTCATGCAGTCACCTGGAAGATGCCCTGAAAGTGTTCTGTGAAAATCTGTGTAAAGATGACAACCAGTCCTGTTACATGGCCACCCTGAAGCCTTTTGAAGCAACTGGGATGGCAGTGGATCAGGAAGAAAACCCAGGCTGCTGCCTGGGTTTTGAAGCCTATTCGATTTCAAAGCTGTTGCATTCTTGGTGCATCACCAGTGTATGCCAGAACTCAACGGAGTTCTGTGGTGGGGATGAATATCAAATAGCAGTTCAATTGCACTGTTCTACCTCAGATCTTTTAGAAATTGATGTAAACTTGATTCTATTGCTTGCAATAAACTTGTATCTGTCACTTGTAAAGCAAAGGGTCCAGTCCCCAACGTAATGGTGTTTACTTTTCTTTCTAATAGAAGGCAAGGAACTTTGACTGAAGTCACCTTTAGTTTTTAAGGGTGTTTGTGTATCTTACTGTGAGCTAAGTTGTGTGCTTATTACTTCACACAGCAAATGTGTGCTCTCTAGACAAAACAAACCCAAAAAAACAAAACCCCAAATGCTAATTATTGTGAATTTTCATTGTTATGGAAAGTTGCAACATGAAAATGCCTTGGCAACTAGACAGCAAGGCTTTTGCCTTGTGTGAAATTTCACTGTTAAAGCCATATCTGGTTCAGAAGAGTATACATAAAGTGAGGTAAATAGATTAATGTTTAAATGTCAATACATGAATATTAAGCGGACACTTTTGAAAAGAAGTCGGAATACACTACAGTTCTAAAAAAACTCTTTCTGGAACATTAGCTTTAAAAAAAAAAGTAAATCTGTGTCTGTCAGAATTTAAACATAGGTGATTGAGTAAATTATGGTGCTTTGAGAAGATTTCACATCAAAAATGACCAAAAAGAGCTGTGCAATAGGGAGTGGAAAGTGATGTTTTTATTAGAGATTAGTATATCTAAAATGCAGCTATGTGAGACTGGTATTACTTTATTCTAGATCTCTGTGAGTTTTCAAGTGTGTAATAGAATTAACAGTTGTAAAACTAAATGCTATTTGAAATCTTGGGGCTAGCATTAAAAGATAAATAAAATTATATTAAGTAACAGGCAACAGAATATTTCTAAATACAAGTGTGTTAGTCCTTCCAGACACTTTCAGACTCGTAATCAGTGAATAAATCATAATTTTTTTAATAGCTGTTTCAGCTTTAAATCCCAGGGCTTGGAAGGAGAGGTCGGCACAGAGTGGCTTCTAGTTTATTTACAGTTTCTTCTACAGTGCAATAAAAAGAATGAAATGCATGCAGTTCTGAACTGGGGAGGAGAAGCAGCACATCCAGCTGCACTGCTCTTAGGCACAAATGCAGTCTGGCATCTAATGGAACAGAGCCTTACATTTTTCAAAAAAAAGGGAAGCTAGAAGCATTGTGTATTTCAGATCCCTGATGCCTATAGCCCAGGAGCAGAACACAGCCCACAGAGCAGTCAATTTGCTGTAGTGGCAGTTGATGACTTGGGGGCTGCTTCGTGTGGGCGATATGACCGCCTCCAAGGCAGGGCATGTGTACCAACTGGACAGCTGTACACAAAATGCTCTAACTTCCAGGCTGGTCAGGAGAAACATGTGTTCTCATTGTGTAGGCGTGAGAGGAGAGTGCATGCTGTCTCCTGGTCCCTGGGCAGAATGCACACAGCACTGCTGCTGCCACTGGTGTGCCAGACGTTCTCTGACATATCACAGTTCACTTCCCAAAAGTGGGACTGCCAGCAGCAGGGAAGAGGGAGGTTGTCAGGCAGCGGAGGGGAGTGAAGGGTGGTTTGGAGGTGTCTAGAACTCTTCCTCACACCCCTAACATGAGCTAGGGGGCCGTGGTAGAAAGGGGACAGAGAAGAGAACGGGGACTGTTATGAAAAGGAACAGATTAAATGTGATTTCTGTTGGGAGGGGGGTTTTAGTAGGGAGTGGCACTTAAGTCTACAGAAGAGAGTGAGATGTGCTAACCAATGTAAAGGCAATATGTACATGCTTCTTTTTTTCACGTTTGTGTAGAGCTGTTTGAAATACCTTTTCAAAGTATTTGAACGTATTGCTGTTTCAAACCGGAAAGTGAGGAGTTGCAATATTAATGGCAGTATGAACGCAGAAAAATTGTGATAATGCTTCTGGCATCAGAGTTTATCTTCGTGTTCCAGACTGGTTTTACAAATCTGCCATATCAAATTACATATTCTCAGCTGAATAAAACGTGAGGCTACAGTGGTAACCAGTGTTTTGTTTCATAACTATCCTGCTTATTTTTAAGTAGCATTTAAGGTTTCTAATGTGATTGTCAGGCTGTAACTCATTCTTATTTGCTTGCCTTGCAGCCATCGGATGCTTTGATATTGGGAAAGATAAAAAATGTGGACTGTGTGCTGTTGGCAAGGTAAATGAGCATTTTAAGGGGTTTTATATTGTGTGTCCTAAAGTTTTCTCAAAAGATTTTTCTTTTTACATCAGGTGAACTGATAACTTCATCTTGCTCTGTGTAGTTGCTAGCAAAGTCCAGCAGAAGTCTGGGATTTTTCGTGAACAAATTGAGTACTGCAGGGACTGAGAGTATTAAAAATATCATCTAGATTAGGAAAGAGAAATCCAGTGGGGGGGGTGCTGCCCTAGTATGAATCCCCTGCTTACCTGCTCAGGTGGTAGGTAGGTGATGGCTGATAACTTCAGTAATGTGTCTGCTACCTGTGTTTGCAGATTTCCTTTGTGAAACTGGGAAATTGCCTGTTTCCAGATGAACTGTATCCCTGGTATCACTGTGGGTTCTTCCAAATCGTTCCCTTTGATTACTTAGTCCTCTGGCTGTTAACTATTGCTTAGGAGGCTGCATCCTGTGTAGTTCTCCCTCCCTGGGTCAGTTTTATTCAGCCATCTCTTACCATACTCAGAAGAGACTCTGGAAGCAGGATCTGCAGATGGGTGCATGGAAATTTCATGCTGATCTAAGCATGGATATCTAGGACTACTAGATAAAACATAAGAATACTAGCACAGTTCTCAGCATCTGAACAGCATGGGCAGAGCCAGGTGCTGATAACAGGGTTCGTCAGCAGTCCCAGACAAGTCGAGGTGATGAATCAAGTCCAGGATCCATCCAGGGAGTCCAGGCAGGAACAGTGGGAGATGGGGCCAGAGACAGAGACAAGGCTGCAGTGTGTGTCCAAAGTCCATCCAGAAAACAGGTCTGGAGACAAACTACAGCACAAATCTGAAGGCCATCCGGGAGTCAGGGCTGGGGACAGGCACACCTGTGACATAGCTCAGGCCAGGAGCGAAGGCTGAGGCCTGAGCTTGGAGACAGGAGCGCCTAGGCTCACGGGCACTGGGTGTTTGCATGGAGGCCCAGGATCAGCTGACCAGGGCGATTACAACCCAGTGGTGCACTCACGGCCCTGATTCTTTTCATGCCAGTATTCTTCCATTAAGCTGCTGACTGTTACCATCTCTGCAACTACACTTCCATCTGTAGTCTTACTTTTCATATCTTGCATGGACTTAGCTCATGTATTTTATTACACCTGCACAGCATTTTTCTCATTTTCTCAAATGAAATGCTAAGCCAAGATCTCATTGCTGTGCTGTATCAAAGTAGCCCAAAGCCTACAGATGGCTGAACAAATCAGATGTGGTTTACATCCTCGCTGGGATTTATGATAATCCACATACAACCCCCATGAGTTTGCTTTTGGGGCTAAGGTACCTGCAACTTTCCTTTCTATTTTGTGAATAATTACAAAGTTGCTCATGAATGCCAGATTAAAAAAAAAAAAAAAATAGGTGGGTGTGTATATTCTAGAAGAGGATTGTGACAACTGCGACATTAAACAAGAAGTCTATGTGCATAGTAATTTGTCAGAAATGCCAATGACAACATGGGTATCCTGCCTGACAGTGCTTGGTCATTGTTTTGGTTTCGGCTGCCGCCGGCAAGAAAAGCGCCACGCGGCCGCCCCCCCCCCCGGCGCGGCGGGCGGGGGGGGGAGAGAG